ACCCAAACCCATCCTCACCATGGATTTTCTGAAGTTCATTTGAATGTGCAAATGCTGCTTATTTTGCCTCCCATGGCAGCAAAGGGATTGAAGATGATTCGGGAGTTCGGGGGATTGTATTTGAACTTTGTTTTAGCAGATTCTCTGTTGCCTCCTTTTTGGAGAAAATAAATGGACAGGAAAGACAAAATCTAGATGCTTTCAATTTGGTAACAAATGACAACTAGGGATTCTCCTGCAGGTGAGATGGCAGGAGAGAAAAATGAACAGAGTCCTCCTCTTTCTTGCTTAACCTTCCCTGCCAAATGCTTGTGGTCAGGGAAGAGTAAGGAAAGAAGACAGGGGAGAACACATTGTTTGTTACTGGTGTAATTTCCTGAATTTGACATGGTCAGCCAGGTCTCCCTTAAATACATCATTGCTAGACTTGCTTCTGTTGAGAATAACAAAAACAATTTGCTGTTCTATCTAAATGCTAATACATTATTCCATATATGTTGTTCTTTCTTTGGAAGATTACGTTATTTTCTAGTCCTGCACAGCCTTAGCAAATACCAGGTCGTCCTTCTAATCTGAAAAGCAGATGTGCAGCTGCCACTTGCTGTTGCTGGTTCAGCCTGCTGTAGGATTCAGCGGAGAGACAAAACTGTCGCATCCATCCCTGGCAGGGGAGGGAATCCAGATCTAATCTTTGCCTCTCCTTGAGGCCTACCATTGCATTGTTAAGGGGATATTTGTTAGCATGTAGTTACAGTATATCGTAAGAGGTTTTTTTATGAATAGATTTTAGCTTACAGTTGTGCCAGGAAAAACATAATTGTTTTTTTAGTCTATAAACCAATACCAGAAGACTTAAAAATAGAAGGGTTTTTATAATAGGATTGAGGTAGATGTTAGGCATATTGCATGCATCAATTATCATGCAGAAACATAGTTTGAAGGTACATCAGGTACCTAGAAAATCAGAAACAACAAAAGAAAATTATCAACCTTGCTTAACTGAAAAATCTCCAGTAAACCTCTTTGGGGAGGATTTTCCTCCCTCCAGCTGTGTGCACCTGTGAGAGGGAAACATGTTTCTCCTGAGGGCATTTGTGTGGGATACAGCCTATTGTGCCATCTGAAATAGATGGGGTTTTGTGGACTGTAGCATTGCTATAGGGAAAGGAGAGGAGGTTGTCTCTGGATGCTGTACTTTTCTTATGTGGAAGCATTCTCCTGTGCCTTGGTGGATTTGTCTGCTGCGTGTTCATCACAGAAGCTCTTTTTGGGGTATTTTCTGTAAGAGCTGTAATTTTGTGTGTGTATAGGCACTGAACTTCCAGAGGAATCAGGCTTGAGTTTTCACTCCTGGAATGACAGAACCAACACTGTGCAGATAGAAGAGATCTGGCTGATTTTACTAGTTGTGTATTTGTTACGTCCTTTCTAATTTTTGCATCATTTACTGCAGAAACAGATGCTTTGTTTTAATTAATGTAGTGCTTTGCATAGTCTTAAAGCAAATAATAAAGTAGCTGTGTAGCTGTGAATGCTTTTGTATCACTTGTGACTGCCTTTCTTAAGAATTTCTTTAGAATTATGAAGTGTATCAAAATAAGAATTGAATTTACCTTTCTGTCAGCTGCCTTTGGCTATGACTGAGAACAGAGCAAAAAGCTGGCTTAAAAACAGAACAGAGACAGCAGTTTCTTCCTATTAGTACCCAGCTCTGAAGATAAACTTTCTTTCTCATAATATGTTTAGTTTTCATATCTTTTTTTTTCTTCTTGAAGTCTTTAAAAGAACAGGAATTGAAGTAGTGATAGAAAATTTTAAGTGCCATAAAGTGGCAAAGATGGCAACTCCATTAGAGTGGATCAAGTTATTTACAGATAGCAACTTAGTCTGTGGAGAGTAAATTCCAATAAAATAATTTTATTTGATATAGGACAGAGAACAACTATGCTGTACTGTTTCGTGGTAAGAATAATTTCTACTAGTGCAGATGAGAATGTTTTGGATGTACAACTGGTAACGTGAGTGAAGTAGGAGCCATGTTGTTGTGTCCTTTCACTTAATATATAGAGATTGTATTCTGATCTTAGTTGATTTTAAGATTATTTCTGATGAATTCTCTCTTCATACTTTGCTTTTGCCTGAAAAGTAGGCTGCTATATTTGGTATATGGCAACTCCCTTGGGATAATATGAGAATGCTGACATCTCAGAGTAAGATTTGTAGATTAAAGATCACCAAAGGTTCCCTGATGGCACTTTGAAACTAGGCGTGGAATTTTTTTCAACTTGTTCAGAGAGCTGACTTTTTATTTATTTAGGTTTCTGTGGCGTATGACTAATATCTTTTACTGCATATGTCTCTTCTGCAAAGTAGTCAAGTTCCAGGCACACAGAATTTATCAAAACAATTTTTCTCATATGCAGAGGTGTTGAGGAAACAGATGTGCTTATCCTTTGGACCTTAACTCTTGGCATCCTATTGGTGTTGGCTAGGTCATAATGCATTGTTAAGATCTGTTTAAAAATTGACTGAGCTGACAAGATTTGTTGTTTTGTGAGGGTAGCATTGCCCTTGGGACAGGTGGAAAAACATGTTCGCATATTCTAACGTTTTCTATTTCTGTAAGAGAGTCTCTAAAATGTGTGGAGAAAGATGAAGTAAATAGTCTTCTTATGATGTGTTTGTACTGAAAAGGAAAACTAGTATAGTGTTTTTAAAAATATATAACTGATGGTGAAGTAAATGTTCACACTTAAAAATTTCCCCTAAAGTGAGGTATTTATTCAAGTGGGAGCTTCTTGTTGTGCTTATTTACAGAAATTAGATTTTTAAAAAATATACTAATTAAAAAAAAAATTGTTTACAGTGAAGGCCAAATAGATTGTGTGTGCACAGAGAAAAGAGATAGCCCAAGGAAATGATCAGATGACTTATTTTCAAAGATTGGCATAAAGAGAAGTCAGTTCAATTTTTAAATTTTTTTTTAAATAGGAAAATAGCAGCAATAATCCAATATTCAGCTATTTGACAGGGAGAAACAGAAAAATAGTTTGAGATTTGTTACTGCAAAGTAACGAAGAGCGAGAAGCATAGGCACGCACCATAAAACTCTTTGTGGCTATTCTAAAATGAAACAAGTTTATTTTAACTTCTTGCCTTTTTTTTTTTCCTTTGAAATCGGTACGAATTAACATCAAAAACAGTAAAAAATTGTTGATGGTTTACAGACAAGAATTCCCTCCAAGGAATCAACATTATTATTTGATATTTTCCAATTTAGTTTTATTGTTCATGCTGACGGTATGCTTCCTTCCTCCCATGCAGCAAGAGTTCATTTTGGATCTGCCAAAACAATCTTTAGATTATCCTCTGAATCAGCTTGTTTTGAGGGATCTGGGGTTATCCTTTGTTCCTAGCAGCAAGTTGCTCAAGATACTATGACTACAGTCACCGTGCTCTTCATTACTTGCCATGTATACCAACATTGTGTGTTGATTTATCTACATCTTTGGAATGGGGACAGATGTTAGCTTCCTGATGTGTAGGATCAATGTGTAGAGCCAATCCAAGAAAATGACCCTTTGTTTGATACTTGCATTTTCTCTCACATGGTTCACATAACTTGACCAGGTCTTATAACATCTACTGGCATAGTCCTCAAAGTCATTGAAACCCAAAAAGCTTTGCAGTATGTGGCCTGACAGCAGAGCCACAGAGATGCTCTTCCTTTGGCAATAAGGAATTTGAGTCACTGTGTGAAACAAACATTTAAAAAAAAAGGCTGGATTTTTTTTGCTGTTGGTAACTCAGTTCTCTGAAAATCATTTTATGCTTAACTATTTGCTTATGCTTTCTTCAGCAAAAGATGGTGCCACAAAATCATGCTAACCAAGTAGACCTGAAGTTTTGTCATGTCATCATAACTTAGTGCCATTTTAGATAAGAGGAATGTTCTCTAATTGTTTTATCTTTAGAATTTGGTAAGAGGTCAGCTATAGGATTTGTGGCCCATTTTTTAATAATATAAGTATTAATACAATAGTACACAGCATTACCTCACCAGATCAGACCATTTACTTTAATTAGGATGCAACCTCTGGTAACCCCTGGTGATATGGAGAAGGTAAATTGCATGTTCTTTAATGTACTTTGTGTTGATTTGGGTCATCTTAAAAAGTTGTCAGTGATGAGAGAAGCAGATTCTCCCTGTAGCACTAATTGTATTTTCATGTACAAATTATGGTAATGACTGAAGAGCTGCAATTTTCTTATCCATATCTCTGCATTTTATAGCAGCATGTAATTAATAGCTGAAATTTAAGCCCTATGCTGAGGGCTGCTGATTTGAATGTTGATACTATGTTTTAGAGCAGTAAGGGAGGAATAACTGTGCAGTCACCTTAGCTGATTGTTCTTTCTGTCTTGGCATCCTTAAATACTGGCCCATCCTGGAAATCAGGTGTCCCCAGAAATAAGGGTTGTTCTGATGTCTAATTCTGTTTCATTCATATTTAATGTGTATCTTTCTAATGAGACCTCTTCTAAACTGTGGTCTTGGGACCAGTAAAGCATTTTAGCACTTAATCTAGAAAGAGCTTTTAATAGTGCAGACAGAAATAAAATAACAGCTGCTAGGCTTAAAACTCTGATTTCAGGCAGAAGAAATGAAGGGTTTACGTGGATAACTTCATAACTATGAAAACAGTGGATAGAGAGTACTTGCTTAATTACCAAGGTGTGCCAGGTTGTATAATCTTTATGTAGAATTCTATCTGGTGGTAGGAGTAATGTTTTAAAATGTTTCTTTGTTGACTTTAAAAAAAAAATGCTTATCAGTGATAAATCGGCACAGGAGATGCTAGAGTATTTTTGTTACTAAAGTAAAACTGTGCATGGAAGCAGAGAAGAGATAGCAGTTCATTTATATTAGTAGAATGATGAGATGAATGGAAGAAATATGTAATCTGTCTCGTGTAAGTTGACACTCATTTCTGCTTCAGAAGGTATCCTGGGATGGCCTGGGCCCAAGTCGCACTCCACAGAGCAACTGAAAAATGGTGCCCTCAGCTCCTTATCATCTGCTAGTGCCAACATTACATGGGCAATAGTACCATCTGCAGCCCAGGATGGACAGGCATTACAACCAAATACAGAGGTGAGCATGGTAGGTCTCTATAGGTGCTTTCTGTTGTATCTGAGACTTGACATTGGTTAGATGCAAACTATGTATGATGGTGGATGCTTTTATTAATTATTTATTGTACTTTTTTCTTTATGGTATCCTCTTTGAAATTAGTTGTGAAAATGCTAAGTTTCATGCGAAAGTGCACTCTAGAAAAATATGTTGATGACATTGCTGTGTGCTTTTGCTTCTCTGAGGTACTTTGGACAGCGGACTATGGCAAGCGTACAGTCTCTTGTAAAAACAATTAACAGACTGTCAGTACACATTTCTATCTTCTGGTGACAGAAAAAGCTGTTTGTTTTTTTTATGCTGGTTTGAGATAGACAGGAGACACTAAGACCACAACATTTGCTTGCTGCTGCTTCTTTCATGTTGCTGTTTGCTCTTGGGTGTCTCTTGAGTATAGCTGACTATTCTTTGAGTTGGAAAAATATATTGTTTTCTGACCCCTTTTCCTGTTAAGTGATTATGGGCAGAACTTGTCCGCATCATCCTGCACCAGCCTGTTGATTTGTGCTTTTGTGGCATTTACTTGGTAAAGGGCAGTTCTGAAGCATCGGCTCTTTGAGGAGGCTCACAGCTGCGTATCAGGCATCCCATGCACTGAAAGTCTCTCACCATGCCAAACATCTCCAGCTTCTACTGTCTGCTTCGGTTACCAGTGCTGCCCACCAGGAAAACACTTCACTCTGAGACCCCACAGATTGTAGGGCACCTGGAGCACATGAGACCTGGAGAACTGGGAAGAACGTTTTAAGAGAGCTGAAGAAACCCTTTTGTACTAGTGAATGCTCTTTGGCAATTGGAATGGCTTAAATTAAATTATATCACCTTTAACAAAATGTGTAATGGCTGGGGGCGTCAATAAAGCTGTTTGTTTTTCTGGTTCTTTCGTAGTATCTTGAATTGAGTATGGTTTAAAAAATCCAAGGATAAACCGGATTTTTTTTTCTTTAATGTTACATGTTACTTTGGTCCTCTTCCAGATCTGTCCTTAGAAAGTAATTTCAAATTCAGTTACTTCTAGTGTCCATTAATCACAATGTTTAAATTACTTGTAATTGCTTTTTATTAGGAAGTTGTGTAATTTCTTTTTCAGATAAGCCAACTGCAGTTCTTATAGTATGCTCTTAAGACAGGCTATTTAAGAATATTGTTTTGGGAGTTACTAATTTACTCACTGATACACTGCAATTTGTTTCATTAAGTTTTTTTAGATGTTTTTATTCCTGACCACCTGGTAAAGCCAAATAGGATGTGGAAGCATGGGCTTTGCAGCAAGAACATAAAGAGCAGCAGCTGATTGAACTCTTCTCAGGGTATCATTTTGCAGTTGAGTTGAGCCATTTATGACTTGTTCTAAATGACAATTTTTTAAAAAGTCCAGTTTCCTCCCCTTCACTTGCTGATGAGAGTTACTGAGTTGTGTGTGTGGCTTGAGGTACTGCTTTGCATGTGGAACTCATGATGTATTGAGAAGGGAGTACCCTTGAAGAGATGGATATAAATGGGGGAGCATAGCACTGTTTGCAGTACAGAATCCTCAGTGCTTTGTGGGCAGTCTTCCTGAAATCAGCAGCCTGCATTTGAAGGCCCTGGGGCACTAGCCCTTAAAAAAGAAGAAAAAAGGGAGGGGAAAAAAAGAGAATAAATTAGATTTTTAAGTTATAAAAAGGTCAGCTGAAGATGGTGTTTTTGGCAGAAGCAGTAAGTGGAAGTTTGTGGATTGGTGGAGCAACAAGAAGCAGCTGGACTCATGCTTGTAATTTTTGTTATGTGTCACGTCCCAGTTTCTCAGAACGACAACTCAGGTTTGTTGATTCCCAGGTCAGGATTAAGGTGAAACAACATCAGGGATCCTTTAGCTCACAAAACTCAAGCTTTTATTTGCTCACAACAAGAATGGGCATGCTTGCAAGAAGAATTGGCATGAAACTATATCAGTAAACTGTGTAACGTGCTAACCATATGTCACCAAACATATACTACAGGCCTTGCTTATTTGGGGATCAGTTCAGGGAGGACAATGAAGAGAGCCCTTCCATTAAGTCACGAGGTTCAGAGTCGACCTCCTTGCTTTCTAGACTCCTTCTCAGAGAGGAGCCTAGGGGCGGCTGGATCCACTCCTAGTCCCAGACTTGGTCAGCGGTTTATGTCTAAAGGGGTGAGGTGTAGGGATTACGGGAAAAAGAGAGAGAGGGGGAGACAGAGAGAGAAAAGAGAAAGATTTCACCGGTCCTGGGTCCAGCATTGGTCCAGTCAGTCTAAAGGTCCAGTTCTGGTGGGCTTCAGTTTGTGTCCTTTTATCATCCTTTCCCCTCCTTCGGGTGGGCACTCGAACTCATTAGGCTAATTAAGTGTCATGCCAGTTTGTGCTTTCAGAACCTTTGGGAAATGGGTCAGTGGGCTTGGGGGGTTGTCTGGGGAGTAACTTCTCCTTCCCTGCAGACAGGACCATTGTTTGATCTTTGGCCATGCATGGTGAGCTGCCCTGCTCAGCATATCAGAACAGTGTATCAGAACACAGAGCTGCGCACCCTCCGGCATGCCCTCCCTGTCCTGTTGCTGATGTCCTGTGCTGATCGGCTGCTTTTCACCTGTTGTTCCTTGCTGTGCAGGGTTCTTGGTTATGTAGAGTTCATTGTTGGGCAGAACTTGCCCCACCACAATGTTAGAGACATTTAACTCCTTCAGTCTCTCACATTATGGTAGTACAGTTTATTAAGCAGAAATTTGGTTTTGCCCCAAGAAAGTGGCCTGAATCAAGATTCATTCCTGGAAGCTCTTTCCAAACCTGCATCTTCCCTTCCACTGAGTCCTTGTGTGCTTCATGTTATCTGAGATGGATACTGTTGGCTCGCAATTTAAGGTGCTCTTTTAAATGTAGCTGATCTATTTTTCAGTTTTGATCATTGTGATCAAGATATCAGTGCCCCATTGGAAGGCCGAAGCACAACACCTGAACTGTGGAAGAGGTGAACAGTTGCATCTAACATAAGTTGGAGCTTTTGTATTTTCATATTCATCTTCAGATCAAGCAACTTGTCATGCCCTGTTACAGAGGCTACACCTCTTGGCTGCTGTGGTGAGATCTTTTTCTGGGAGAGGAGGTGAAGTTTTCCTAGAGTGCTACAGGTTCTGCCCAGCTGTCCAAGCTGAGCGAAGTGTTGAACAGGATGCTGGAGCTTCTTCTTGTTGCAACTAGTGTGACTAGAGAAAGGACGGTGAGAGAACAGGCTTTGAAGAAGAGAAAAAAATCTTTTGAGCAACATAACTGTTACCCTGCTAAGGATGCTACTTGAGCCAGGTAGTCATCCTGGAGATGATGTGTGATACGCCCCCCAAAGTTAACAAAGGTGTTTGGCTTAACACACTTTAACAATTCTGTGTGCTGGATTTAAGCTTATTTTAAAATATATTCTGGCCTGTTGTGTGTTCAAGGCAGGAGCCTAGATTTGGCACTGGGTAGCCAGTTCATTTTCAAAGGTATAAAAGCACTGACTGTGCTAATTACTTAGTATGTGTAATTGTATATAAAAGCCACTGCAAATCATCACACTCCACTTCTTTTGTAGTCCAGATACATTGTCATTAGTAACTGTGGTGGCATCAGCAGAGATTGAGAAAATGCATCTAGACATCATTGTTCGACCAATTTTTGACATTGAAGACCCTGATTTCTTTTTTTATTTATCTGGTAGCTTCTTTTAGATGTAGGAGAAAAGGAGGAATCCACAAGTGTAATTCCAATGAGGCTTATTTCTCTTAATGATTTTCTTTTAAAAAACTCAAACTAGGCATTTGGATGATCCTCATTTATGAAGAAGTTGGTAGTGTATTAATGGGGTTCAGCTTTCAAAATATACCTGCCAAAAGAAGTGAGCCTTGCTTTTACAGAAGTTATGAGAAGAGAGTGCTGGTTCCTCTATCAGTGCTATCAAAATTAACTCCAATTTCTTCTTTGACTGGGCCTAGATTTTTATTTTTAAAAAGTCTGTACTTTTTATGATATAACCTCTATCTCTTAGTCAGAAGCTATAGGAATGGGTGAGAGCTTTTTGGCTAACAGTCAGCGTAATATAGTAGATGTACCAACCAAACAAATTGTGAATTGACCTGTAGTCTGGAATAGAAAAAGCCATTAAATTATTACCCTTGAGGAACAACTGACTCAGCTGCTTATATTATAGAATGTTATTTATAAGGAAAAGATAATTTTAGGTATGTGGATCAGCAGTGATTTTAAAAAGATGTTAGTTATGTTGGGGTGGGGGGTGAGGGGGGTGATGGGATGTGACTGCTGAGGAGTCTTTCCCATAGAGCAGGCTGCCAGTGGCAGCAGTTTCCTGGCAACATGACCAAGCGGCTGAATGTGTTTAGTGATAGCTGTGTTAATTCTCAGCACAGCATGTAGATACTTTGCAGCAGTGCATTAAGCAACATCATTAACAAACCAATGACTTGTTCTCTGCTGTGTTTTTTATATGTTTGTGAAGAAGCATGGATCTTTATAATTCTCCTCTGCAATAACAAGGCTCATCTGATGCCATTTTCTTTGAATACTTAAGCATTCTTGAGGGATATAGTAAGTTCTGGAGTTGAGTTTTGATGTGGTAGATAACTGAATTACCCTTTCTTTTTGGTCTGTCGCACTGTCAGGGTTTCAGGAATGCAGAGTTTCTCCCCTGTGAAATAAAAAAGCAGCTAAAGATTCTTTAGATAAAACACTGTATTGGTGTTTACTTGCTTTTGTTACTTAGGGTGTTTCTTGCTTTGAAATGCAGGGATATCATTTGAGATACTGCTTAAACTAGTTCAGAAGATACAAGATTTTTTAGCAGAGATTATTATCTTGTGTATTCCTTGCTTCTTTTAGCATTTTCTTTCTTGATGTTGCTGTTTCATCTTCCCAGATGAGTTTTCTTTCAGGGTTGTGATATATGGCAGCATGAAGTTAAAGCCTGTTATCT